TTTCCCGTGGGTTAACAAAAAAGGATTAATTATAAATCTCATCTACTTAACCTGGCTCTATACTATTGTTTTTTTTGAATAAAATACACGACGTTTTTCGTGCTTTTCACTACTTTACCGTATATGTGTTTTCCTGAAGACGAAAACTAGTTTAAGATCGAATTCTCACTTAAAATGACATACAAGGTGACTTATAGAAATTCCATGCATCCCTTTTTTGGAATTATTTTTTCGAAAGGAAGAAATACGTCAGGCATTTTTCCCTGCAAAACGTTTTCTCTGTTTTCAGACAGAAGCTGATTTATGTTCATAAATGACACAACCTCCAAAAGAAACCAGGTAGAGGAAGTTTTTGCAAATGAACAGCAATTCCAAGTCGCATTTGAAAAAAATCTTTTACACATCTGAAAAACCAATGGCAAACTGTGTTTAAAGCTAATGTTTATTCAAACTTAGTCCTATTTTACGCGTGAAGTACAACGTACTTTTTTGAAAAGTGCATGGTAATTGGAATCCATTGGCTCTTACTTTTAAAGTACAGTAGTCTGCCAACAGTAGCGAAGCTACTGTTCAGAAGACGAAGGTGCGATCACTGGAACAAGAGTTTTATTTGCCTGACGTTCCGGATTCCATCGGGAAGATATATCCCTAATTTTCAGGGAAGTCTAAAACTGGCCAAAAGTTTCCGTTCTGTTGTTGACTTAATCTACAAAAAATAAAGTACGTGGACATTCGACATCAAAATATACAACTAAAGCGCTTTTTAAGAGTTATTTTTAAAAATCATTCTTAGACATATTTATTCGCGACTCTTTTGCTGACGTTCATTTTTCTCGGCAGTGGGTTGATATGTTCGGGTGATTCTGAAACCATGTCAAAAAGAGACGGCTTGATAAGAAAGGAGGTTTAAAAGCGTGTTATTTAGGCAAATGCCTTTAAGAAATATATTATTTTGAAGGTTTTGGTAAGCAGGTAGAAGATTAGCATTATTTATGAACAATCGACTGAAGCGAGTGAAAATCCTAAAGTGTTAGTTACCATCTCAAGGAAGATCTAAACCTCTTCTTGATCAAAATCTAAAAAAGTGATTATAAATAAATGTAGCGGAAGGAAATTTCTCTTAGTGTTCAAAAAGTGGTACGTTTACAATTGCACCTGACAATACCAATTTAATTGATTAGTCACTGACCGGCATGTTTGCACGTGAGCTTACGAAATATCTTACTCCTGTGATCTCTCAATAGGCCAACATAAGGAGAAAATGCGATTTCCTTAGTCCGACGTAACTCTAGCAATGTATAAACAGAAAAAAGGACCAGTAATCCTAGTGAAACCGTGGTAAAATGCATGCTCCAACTTTGACCTATTCGGTAACAGCCATACATTACATTGCACCTAATGTGGAAGCATATTTATCTGGAAATTTTACAAAAGGATTATTTTCCAATGAAATTGTACTTGCGCTGCTTTATTTATTCGGTGGTTTTGCATGAACAGGCGTCCTCTTCATGTAATACTTAAGTTTACCTAGTACGCCTGGTTTTCATTTTTTCGGAATTTTCCACTTTGCTGAAAAAGCTGGTATTTCTATAAAACGTTATATTCCTTCTTAGATCGCTATATAACTTGTTGTGAAGAACGACCATTACTTTATTGGTGTAAGACTTTGGGGGCTGCAGTTTGGACTGCGTTTGAGTAACAGGGAGTTAATTGTAATAATCCTTGGATTTCATGAGTTAGACAACCTTCCATAACTGTCCATTTTGTTAATGACACTTGCTCTATGAGGGCTATAATTTGTAAAAAATGGATCTGATTTTCCGAGCCCAAATATTTCTTCTCATTATGCCTTTCGTTGGACAGACTTCTTGAGACAATTTCGTGCTGATGTATAAAGCGACTAAAAAAGCTATTTGTAACCCACTGTGTAAATTTTACGAATTGGCTCAATGTAAAAGATACCTTCAAATTAGACTTAGAAGTCTCAGTTTGGCTGAAATGAAGTTGCAGGTCACATTATGAGCTGTCGAAGATGTGTGGTTACGTTTAACTGCGGCAACTGCGAGCAAGCGCTTCATTCTGATGAACGAACTAAGTTTGTTTTTTATATTGTGTGCGTTTTTTTGAAACGTCTTTTGTTATTTACATCATTTATATCCACTTCTGTGGTATGTTCTGGTTAGTGAAGGATCATTGCAGTCGCATACAGTCTTCTGTAGTGTCGATGACTGGAGACCCTTAGAAGCTAACACTGATATATTATAAGCCTGAAAATTAGGTCCGCGATTTTTTCACATATATTTTAAGTTTCAAAGTTTGACTTTATTTTTAGAAAACATTTCCCATTTATTATGTTGTGGGCGGACAACACAACCATCTGAAACGTCAGACATCAAATGAACCTCTCCCGGTGAATACTTTTGCTTCTTCTGACTCCTTCCCCGGGAATCGCATTTTCGTTACTACTATTGTGTTATATGTGTTCACTTTCGTTATCTTCATTTGCCCTTCGGCAGAATACTTTGATTTTTTAGGTTTGACTTTATTTATAGAAAGCAATATTAGTTATGGGCAGACAATACAATCAACCGAAACGTCAGACTTGCAATCTGGGAATCACATTTTCACTACTTTTACTATGCTATATGCCTTTACCTTTACTGCATTTGCCCTTTGGCAGACTTCCTTATTTGCTGCTGAATCTAGGTTGAAGTACTACTTATAACAAAGAATTTTTTGAAACGTCAAATCCGTTATATACCTCGAGGTCTTTTTTAGACATCCGCTAACATGAACAAACTAGCGAAATCCGAGAACAATTTGCACACAGAAAGCTTTTAACTCATTTAAAGCACACTACTTTAATTGTTAAAGTAGTTCTTATATTTCGCCGACAGCAGGAATACACAACCCGATTGGCAATTTGAGCCAAAGCGAACTGCTTTTGTATATATTACCAGAATATAAAACCGTATAGGACGACCCTCGACTTGGAATTACAACTGAAAAAAATTATTAGGCAGTTTAATTCATGTTGTTTCGCATCAAAGTAACGACAGTTTGTTGACTCATCTTTTCTTTCATTCGCTTCTTCTGCTTCATCCTCCGATTCTGAAACCATATTTTCACCTGTGACTCGGAGAGGCTTAGTTCAGCCGCTATTTCCAGTCTGCGGCTCTTTGTAAGATAGCGACTAAAGTGAAATTCTTTCTCGAGCTCAGTTAGTTGCTGGTTACTAAAACTGGTGCGAACCGTGCAGTTTATTGAGGATGTGGAAATCCAGGAAGTTGGTTGGATGGCTTCTCTCATTGCACTGGCCGACCTTTCACACCAAAAGTTAGCCTGCTTTGCTTGGAATGGGCGTTCCAGAAGATGAATAATCCCGTTGCCTGATCCGTTTTCCAAGCTGTCTTTTCGGGATTCCTGGTCTATTTCTGAGTCTCGGTGGCATCGTGCTGAAATAGGCGAAAGAAAATAGCTTCTTGTACTGCTGTAGGCAAAGCGCTGCAGTCTTGTACATAACACCTATTTACAGTTTAAAAGACCTAATTTTGATAAGCTTGGGGGCCTCGGTGAGAGTCGAACCCTCGACAGCGAGGTAAAGGCCCTAGTACAGCCTTAGCCGCCTGAGCTGCGAGGTCCCACCGAGAACCGTAAGTTTC